ATCTCAAATAAATAAAAATTTTTAGAACTAAAACTTAGTCACTTAAAAAGAAAAACTAAAACTAAAATCATCAACCCCCACTAAGTATACTCTAAACTAAATTTGCATTAATGGCCAATACGTTTTCCTACATTATTTTAAAAAAAAAATTAAAACTAAAAAAATTTAATGTGTAATCTAGACTGGAAATGAACCCCAACTAAAAATATCTTAATAAATGATTTGTAACCAACCATTAGGTTGTGTTCTAAATCCACCATTAACTGAAACCCAAATGAGCTATAGGAGAATAAACGGGACCATGATGATGATTTTGATATAAAATATTATTATTTTATACAAGAATAATATTTATCCGTTTTATTTTTTAAAAATTAAAAAGAATATTATTCTAAAATTACGTCATTTTAATAAATATTTATTAAAAAAATTAAAATATCATATTTTTAAAGTATAAGCTAAAATATTTTTTTATCTTTTTTTTTCTTAATTTTTTTTAAGAAAAAGTGAACAAACACTAACTTTATTTTATATTATTTAATTATGAAAGTATTGGATTTCCATTTTTGTAAACTACGGTGGTAACGATGGCATTTCCCCTTCAGGAAGAGATCCAATAGTAGCTGGACGCCTGTCAGTTGAGGAATTTCAAACGATTTGGTAACTCACAAATAGTCAACGTCCATATCTGCTGATTCAGCATGGTAATAAAAAATGAATTTTTCTAACATTTACCCTATAAGTCTAATCAATATATTTTTTTAATAAATTTATATTATAAAATAAAAATTAATTTTTAAATTATTAATTACTCACTTAAATTTATTTACTTTATAATAATATTAAAATTTATATCAAATTTTATATTTTTTAATACACATTTATAATAAAAAAAAGTAACCTCAACTTGTACACGAAGGCACGAGTTAGAAAACCGTAAATAATATTAAAATTTATATCAAAATTTATATTTTTTAATACACATTTATAATAATAAAAAAAAAAGTAAGCTTAACTTGTACACGAAGGCACGAGTTAGAAAACCGTAAAAAATTTGGAAATTGAACGTCCATCCCACAGGCCAATCAAAATCCAGTTTCACTGGAGCCACCTGTCTCCCATTATTGATTAAACCAAAACTTGGATTAGCTTCATTAGGAGTTGACCATCAACCTCTGGCGAGTCTGAGCTGGCAATCAGACCCTGTTTCTTTTGCTTGGATGCGTGTTGGGAGAATTAAATAAAAATATTATAAAATTAAATTAGGGTTAAGGATAAAACTTTAAATCATAATTTAGGCAAAACTCTACATTAAACCCACAAACTTATCTCAAATTCTCAATTAAGACCCTAAATTTTTATTAAAGCAAATAAGCTCTTAAATTTGTGGATTTGTATAATTTAACCCTTTTCCTTATGGTAGACTTAACACATGTTTGTGCCTTATTTGTGTGAATAGCATCAATACTTGCTTCATAGGCAATAACATGTTAATACCTTATTCACATAAACAATACACAAATGAGCACTAAATCTGCTTAAAGAAGAAGGGTTAAATTGCCTAGACCCCCAAGTTTTGGAGTTGATTTGCTTTAATAAAAGTTGAGGGACTTAGTCGAGAATTTGGGGTAAGTTTGGGGGCTTAACATAATTATAGATCCCAACATATTATTATTCGATGTAAATTTTAGATTCTTGATTGTTTACTCATCTTGACTTTAAGATCTTATCTCATATTTGTCAAATATTTTTATTTAAAATCAGTAAAATTAAGGTTATTCCTCTTGTTTTAAATCATAATTTCCATTAGTTTTGATATGGCAGCAAGATTAAAAACTCATTTTTATTTAAATACCATGATTACATCTTGTTTTATTTTAAATTGAATTTTATTTGGTTAAGCAAGCCTATTTATGGAAATTAATTTCTATATACCACCTGAGATGTAAGATACATATTTTCTTGAAATGAGCATGTTTACTTGATATATATTTGCTAGCTTGTTTAAATTTCCAATACAGTCATGTTTTACTTTTTGGCTATTAGTGGGAGATTTATAAATGTTAGCATATGTTGACATGTAATTTGTGAAACTGATTTATTCTTATTATACTTGTTATCTTACTAGTGAGATTATACACTAGTAATCTTGTTGCCTACTAGTGGGAGTTTATAAAAATTAACCATAACTTGTAAGGGAGATGTTTATTTCATTACTCATACTTGTAATATTTTACATGATACTTTATAATACTTATTGGCATGTTTAATTAAAAAAAAAAAACCAAAAATTCACTTATTGGGATTATATCTTATGTTTTGCCTTGCTCCCCATTTCAAATAATGATGCTAAAGATGCTAAGGATCAAGGCCTGTGACAATTTCGTATTAGACTTGGTTTGGACGTAATTAAGATTTGGATTAGTTTATGAACTTATTTGTCAGTATATGATATTTGAGGCCTAATTATCATCTATTGCATAATTTGACTTAGTAATATTTATTTGGATATTATTTGACTTGTAATAATATTCGAGATATTTTCAAACTTTAATTATTAATTTTAGTTTTGCACAACAAATTGACTTAGTTCCAAACTGTATGCACTTATGGGTCTCACTCATAAGTGTATGATTTTTGTTTTGTTCTAGGCTTTGGGGCATGACAATTAGGGTTCATGGTGAGTGATACCATGCAATATATGTCCTACAAGTTGTCATTAACCCTTAAGGTCTCACAGACCAACTTTCTTGTCCTACAAGTTCTTATTAACCCTTAAGGTCTCATAGACCAACTTTCTTATCTACAAAGATACTCCAATTCAAACCAAGGTAGTTTTCTTATGGGAACTTTTGGTTGAGTTGAGCTCTTCTGAGTTCCTAAAATCCTAGTTAGAAAACTCTATCGATAAAGTTATTGACGTTATTTGGGAATAGCTAAAGCCTTTTACCTGATGGACAAGGCAAGGGACCCAATATAAGAGGGACCACCTCTGGGTGTTAAACATTTGTGAGCTCCTTCCGTGTTTGCAACTTGCTACGCTAGAGAATAAGGGTGGGCCAAAAAATTTGCAACCAAAAAAAAATCTAAAAACTAATGAAACCATAATTGACGGGTATGGTTTGATTGGGTTTGAGTTTATTTGATTAAAAATTGAACCAAACCAATTATAAATTGTTTGGGTTTTGGCTACTAAGTGTAAAAATCAAAAAATTGATGACTAGGGTGAGTATAATTGAAAATTTTGGACCAAAAACCTTTTATCTAAATCTTTTTAATGGTTTTTAGATTTTTTTAAAGATTATCTAGTTGCTTTTCACCAAATTACTTATTTATTTGGATAATTTTTAATTTTTTAGTAATTAAAATTAATGGAATAGTAAATAAGAAATTCAAAAAATACTAAAAGAATAAAAATAATTTTTTGGTTAACACTAAAATCGATCAACATGTCTATTCTCAAAAGCGAAATTGATAAAATCTTTATTTTTTTGGTTTGATTAATGGTTACTAAAATTAAAAGCCCAAAACTTCAATTAACCAATAATTCGGTTTTGATTACAACCAAAACCGAACAATATCCACCTTACTAGAGAACATGGGATGCATTCCTTGCCTCCACAGCCACTCAGCGCCTCCTCACTGGCTGTCATAACTAATAGTTGTTAGAATTTACATAAATAATTAATTTCACAAACTAAATTCTAAAACACCAAATCATTTAAATCATAATATATAGTATACAAAATTTGGTTGTCATAGCTAATACTTATTAGAATTTATATAAATAATTAATTTCACAAACTAAATTCTAAAACACCAAATCATTTAAATCATAATGTATATAGTATACAAAATCAATAGATGCGTTCCTTAATCTCCATAATCACCATAATCAATTTACAACATAATAATGTTATTAACGATCATCCATTATCATCATAATTTAGAATTTTATGTAAAACATGTAAAGTAAATATAATTAGTATTGAGATTTAAGTCTTTCCATCTCCATTTAACTTTTGTATAATGACAATTAATAGATCATGTTACTTTTTAACTCTATTTTAATAAATAGTGAAAGATAGATTTTTCTAAACAAGAGAGGGAATTTAGTTTATTATAATAATTTTTTAGACACATTGTCGAGTAGCTCACCTTTTATTTTAAATCATGCATCTATTCATATTATTACAGTATATAAAACTGAAATAAAATTTATAGCCAATTATATCACACAATTTTATTAGGTTTTCTCAATTTTTCATTTGACTTAGTTTTAAGAACTAAATACAATTAGCATAAATCTACATGAAATTTCTCAACAATACCATCTCTCGATAAGAGGTTAAAAGCTTGTACACGGAGACAGTTAATAAAAAAACAACTTACAACAAAAAGAGTAACTTATTTTTTTAAGCTTAAGTGAGTTGTGACTTTATGGCCACCCAACCCTTTGTTTATGCCACCCAAAAATATTATCAAACTATTAAAAACAATTAATACTTATAATTATCAGTTAATAAAATAATTAATATTTATCACTTAATAAATTAAATTCAACTTAAAGTGATATTTTTAAACATTATAACTAATTATAAAAGTATAAATTAATAAAATCAATCAAAATAAACACAATTATTATACTTTTTAGGTGGCCTTAACAATAGGTCAGGTGGCAACAACCATGCCTAGTGGTTTCTGAGTTCTGGTCATGTTTAATGGTTTTTCCATATGATTGTTTTATCATTTTCTTAAAAGAGATTGGTTTAAATAGAAGGATATTGATTTTTTTTAAAGAAAATTTTGAATTTGAATCTTTTAAATAGATAAATAAGCGTTGAAAGAGTTTTCCCTTAATGAAATTCGTTGTAATTCGATTTTCAATTAATCAAAACTCAATATAATTATCAAATATCAAAAAATTAATAAAAAAAAAAAAAGAGGTACGAGAGGCTCGAACTCTCGACCTCAAGATAACTGGACAAGCTATAAGACCTACGAACCAGTCAACTGCGCCACCACTCCCATGTGTGAAAATCAGTTTTTCTCTACTATTGTTGATGAGACAATTTCAGAGAGTGCGACTGTCTCTAAACTGATCCTTTTATGTCTAAGTTGTTGATGTTGTATTTTTTATTTTTTAAATTTCAAACATTTTGATTTTGCTGCAATCTTAGGCGCCCAAAAATCAATCTTAAAAATGCTCTCTGCTTTCAGGCCAAAGCAGGGCTCAAACTTCTTCTTCTTCCTTTCTCGAAGACTAAAGTTAAAGCTGTCTTCTTTTTCTTATACAACAACTAAATTTGAAAATCCCAATCTCACTTCTGTCACTACAAAGGAAGAAACCCTTCTGCATCTCTTCAAGAAATGTTCCACATTGAAAGATTGTAACCAAATTCATGCACAAGTAATCCAGTCTGGCTTTGGTCAAAGCCTATATCTTATCGGCAAGATCATTATTTTTTGTGCTGGTTCGGGGTATGGGAACATGGATTATGCTGTTTCCATCTTTGAAACAATCGAAAACCCAGATGGGTTTCTTTGGAATACCATGATTAGGGGGTTTGGCAAAACTGGTTATCCTGAAAAAGCCTTACGGTACTATATAAGAATGCAAGAAACAGGGGAAGTGGCAGATAATTTCACTTTTTCTTTCTTGCTTAAGGTTTGTGGGCAGCTGGGGTCCGTTTTGCTGGGGAAGCAGATGCATTGTAACACTCTGAAACATGGGTTCGAAGAACATGTTTTTGTGAGGAACACTTTGATTCACATGTATGGTTTGCTTGGGAACGTCAAGACTGCACAGAAATTGTTTGAGGAAATGCCCAATCCAAATTTAGTGGCTTGGAATGCTGTCATCGACTGTCATGTGCATTGCGGTAAGTTCGAGAAAGCACTTGACCTGTTCTTGAGAATGCTGAGAAGTAGTGTAATGCCTGATGAGGCTACATTTGTTGTGACTCTTTCAGCATGTTCTGCACTAGGTGCATTGGATTTTGGGAGGTGGATACGGTACTACATTAATCGAACAAATCTTTGTGACATTGTATCGATTAATAATGCACTGATTGATATGTATGCAAAGTGTGGGGCGGTTGAAGAAGCATACGTGATATTTAACAGGATGAAGGTGAAGAACTTGGTAACATTAAACACAATGATTTTGGGCCTTGCAACCCATGGCAGTAGCAGTGAAGCTTTGGGACTCTTCTCGAAGATGTTAGAAGAAAACTTTGCGATACCAGATGATGTTACTTTCTTGGGAGTTTTGTGTGCTTGTAGCCATGGAGGGATGGTTGACGAGGGAAGAAGATTTTTTGATATTATGAGCAAAAGGTATTGTATCAAACCAACGATTAAACACTATGGATGCATGGCGGATATGCTAGGTCGAGCTGGGCTAGTGGAGGAGGCTTACCAGTTGATAATGAGCATGCCAATAAAGTGCAACTCCATCGTGTGGAGAACATTGCTGGCTGCCTGCCGGCAGCATGGAAATGTCGAACTTGGAGAGAAAGTCAGGAGGCATCTTTTAGAGTTAGAACCAGAACATAGCAGTGACTTTGTTCTGCTGGCAAATATATATGCGAGCATGGGGGAATGGAATGAAATGGCAAGAATTAGAAAATCAATGCAGGAGATGGGTATCCATAAACCTGAACCTGGGAATAGCATTGGAATTTATCCTGCTGCAAGGTAAGAGATAGCATCACCTGCATCTTCATATATAAAGCAATTCATCTGAGCTTATCCCAACTTGTTGGCTTACGTTAAATATTAAGAAGTTTCATGCATTTAATCACTTCTATTTGAATTCCAACAAGGATGAGATTCACAAGCTTGGGTCAAGTAGTCTTGAAAAGTTTGTCAAGTACAAAGTTTATTCACTAATATAACAAATGGCTATAAGCCCTGATCATCCATCCTGAAGAGAGCTAAGTAATCTTCTTCTGTTTCTTCTCTTTCCATTCCTTAATTTCAGTATCAATCCTAGCTTTTACACTTTCATGAAACCCTGGATAGGGTTCATATCCAAATAATGTTTGAAGAACCTGCAAAGAACCAACATGTCAATAATTCTTCAATCACATAAACCACTTTATAACATGAGAATTTATTGAACATATGAAAACAACCATTACCTCAAGCAAAACAAAGAATGGAGCCATTAAAAATGCTTGAGTAAGATTGTCTAGCAGAGCTGGTGCCCGTTTCTAGAGAAGAAAATATCAAGGAAATGGGTGTAATGGTTATCAAATCCAGTCAAACATATTTGTTCAAATTATAGCATTATTCACCTCAAACACCCCATGGCCCAAAAACTGTCCTGTCCAACAGATCAGCTGAGCAGCAAGCACAACCTAAATAGGAATCAGAAGATAAAATTAAAATGAGAGGCGCAACAAATCTTAGGGCAGATCACAAGTTAATTGACAAAAGTTAAACACAAAGCAAACCTTCCTTCAGAGTCTGGACAATGAAGTAGATTAAATTTAACTTAAGAGGAGGGTAAGGGAGCTACCAACTTAATGTGTTTATATACTTTTTCTTCAGCAAATGAATGTAACAAACCTGTTTGTTCAATTTGTTCTAAATTTTCAAGCTTAGGTTTCATCACATATTAGGATCTTTTTTTTCTTCCTTTAATTTTTAGAAAATGAGAATTCACTAAGATAAAACACCATTAATTTCTAGGTAACTTACTTATTACAAGCTCAATAGAGCCTAATTTCATGACCATTGAAGATGGTAGCCCTGTAACATGCACCCATACTTACCATAGTGTTCATCATTGATTCCTTATACAAACAGAGGTATTTGCCTAAAAGACCCTTGACTCCTTTAGACGTCTTTTACTGCTGTTTTCTCTAAAATCTATAGTTGCAGATACAACTTTACATTACCAAAAACCCCAGCCTTTTTGTGACATTTTGAGATACTGTGACGTGCAGGGCACTTGTCAAGATACACTTCTTAAGATTTCCCAATAAATTGCTGCATGTGTATTTTATTTTCTCATGCTTGACTTTTTACCAATGTATATTTTATACATGGTACCAAAGCATGTAATAACCATCACTTGATAAAGGGGAAAGGAAAAGACAAAGCATGCAAGCATTAGAAGCGACCAACATCAGTAAGGCTAGTATGATTAAAGATGTTAGTTCTGATTTACTAGTAAATTTATCATCAAAAAAATTATTCATCCATCAAATAAGCATCATCAGACAAGAACAAAACTAGAACCCACAATGTCTGTATCTGGTGGAAAGGGATAGAGACAGAAAGAGAGCTATCATACTGAACCTCAAACTATCTCAATAAAGTTCCTCTTTCACCCAAGTTCTCTGTAGTTTTTTCTGAGTGTTCTCTGTCATTTAGCTTTGGCTTCAGAAATAAGTATCATAACCACAATAAAACCAAATAAGCCAGTTCATTACTAAACAAGGTCAACAAAACATCAAGATTCTACATTCAACATAACAGGATCAATTCTCATGAGTGACAGTTTCTCCGATTCAAAGGAAACAGTAATTCAATACCCTAGACATGCTCGACCACAAGAGTACTAAATAAGTAATGGGATTGACTACATAAACTTGAAGCAACATACTGCATAAAATTATTCCAAATTTTAAACTGGGCACCATTATTGGCAAAATGGAATGTAAATGACTAAATTCAAGCATCCAGAATCCTGATTTGCTAACACTAATGCCAAAAAATCCGAATTGAATATAAAAGTTATAAAATGAGGTCAAATTCACAATTGCATGGCACTATTCCAATTCTTCCAATAAGAACTAAAAACTGAATGAAAAATCAGAAACACTGAAACCAGAGAAACCCCGAAACCAGAGAAACCCCACAATTTCCCATCAACAGAACAGGGGACGTACCTTCCAAGCCAGAGAAAATCCAAGCTTGACAGCAACAAAACTAGCCCCAACCCAGCAGACCAAACAAAGCAAAGCAGCCAAAGAACCAGCTTTCTTGTCGAAGGCGAAGTAGAACAGTCCATAGACGAGAGCAAGAACGGATCCATAATTCAAAACCAAAGCATGATTAAAGGGAGATGGCAAGATCCCATCTTGAGATAGATCGTAAAAAGAAGGTGTGAAATAAAAGAGAAGAAGAGCCGTGAAGAAAATCGGCCACACAAACAAGGTATGTATCAATATGTTAACTGGGTTACTGTGATACGCCCCATAGAATGCAAAGTGTCTCTCAAGATCGAACAATCCGGACTTTCCCATCTGCGATTCTCTCGACAAAGTGTAGGATAGAGAGAAGAAGAGTTAGCGGATTGAGTTTTGTTGGAGGATTTGGTGCCGGAGGACGGCAACGGTCTCGATCAGTGGTTTTTCTCAATAAAGATGGGCTGGTGGTTGCGTGCGGGAACCTGTCCTTTACAGAATCTATATCGGGCCCTTGAGCAGTCAAGTCTTTCCCTTACCGTGGGGCTTGCCGTGGGCGCAGTTTTTTCGTCTCTCCAGTGGGCATACTTCAATTGGACAGAGTCTATTGTTAATAGCAGCCGTCCGCAGAATAATAAATATTTTTTATTTAAACTTTCA